GGTCCACTGCAGTAAAAATGTAAGTGAATCCGTTAGATGGAGGAAGAGGACCAACTAAATCAACATGAACATGTTGAAAACGATGGTCGGGTAGACTAAATGCTGACGGTGTTGTAATCGTATGTCTATGTATTTTACTGCGCTGACACTGTACACAAGTCCTGGTCCATTTTTTTATATTTGCATTCATCTTTGGCCAAACAAATCTTTCAGCAATCAGTTTCACAGTAGCACGAATCCCTGGATGGGATAGTGAGTGAAGACAATCAAAAACTCTTTTTCTGTACACTATTGGCACAAAAGGTCTGTGAGTTCCAGTAGAAGTATCACAAATGATAGTAGAGTCAGAATGCGGTATAGGAACACTTTTTAAGGACAAGCTCGAACTTTGTTTACAAGCATCAAGGTCGGGATCATCTGTCTGCAAACGTGCCATGTCTGATAAATCGATTCCTTTGGTGAAGGAAATTGCATCGACGTTGAAACGTGACAAAGTATCCGCAACAACATTTGACTCACCTTTTATAAACTGTATGTTGGTCGAAAATTGGGAAATATAATCCAACTGTCGCATTTCTCTAGGGGAATAACGGTCACTTTTCGCGTTAAAGGCATAGGTTAAAGGTTTGTGATCAGTGAGTATCACAAAGTCTCTGCCTTGCAGTAAATGGTTGAAATGTTTAACAGCTAGATAAATAGCCAATAGTTCTCTACCGAAGGTGCTATATCGAGTTTGGGTTGGTTCTAGCTTCTTTGAAAAGAAGGCAAGTGGTTTGACCTCATTATTAACTCGCTGTTGTAGTACTGCACCTACTGCTGCCTGTGATGCATCTGTACACAGGATTAGTGTTGCTTCCGGGTCAGGGCTTAAGTAGGTCAGCATGGTAGTAGAAGCGATTGCTGTTTTAGCTGCAGAAAAGGCATCTTTCGCTTGGGAGGGTAATATGAACTTTTTGACTTTACCTTTTAACACCTCCGTCAAAGGTTGTAGGATGTCTGAGCAATGTGGAATAAAGCGACGATAAAAATTGATCATCCCCAAGAAACGTCGAAGTTTATTCCATGAGTCTGGTTCTGGAAAACTCTTGATGGCTTCTATTTTTGTATCCAAAGGTTTAATTCCACGTTTATCGATCAAGTGACCTAAAAACTCTAAACTCTCAACTCCGAAAATACATTTGGATGGATTAATCACTATGCCATATTTCTGGAATCTTTCGAATAGTTGATGTAGGTGATCAGCGTGTTCATCGAGCGAACTGCTAGCTATTAAGACATCATCAATATACACGAAAACAAAATCTAGGCCTTTAGTGACCTCATCCATAAATCGTTGAAATGTTTGTGCGGCGTTCTTTAATCCAAAAGGCATTCTTAAGAATTCAAACAAACCAAATGGAGTAATGATGGCTGTTTTTGCTATGTCCTCGGATGCTACTGGAATCTGGTGGTACGCTCGCACAAGATCAATTTTAGAAAAAATTTGCTTGCCATGTAAAGTGAGAGAAAAATCATGTAAATGAGGGATTGGGTAGCGATCCGGTAATGTGAGGTTGTTCAATGATCTATAATCACCACAAGGTCGCCAATCTTGGTCTCGCTTGGGCACCATGTGGAGTGGGGATGCCCAGGGGCTACTTGACGGACGTACTATACCTAGCTGCATCATATGATCAAACTCAGCTTTTGCAATATTCAGTTTGTCTGGTGGTAATCGGCGTGGACGTGCCGAAGTTGGTTGACCTTTTGTAATGATCCGGTGTACTACAGAATGTTGGACAGTGTTTTCACTGTAGTCTGGTTTCGTTATTTTGGGAAATTTAGATAGAATGGTGGCGAATATGTCGTTCCCTGGAGTGTCAATTTTAATACTATGTATGTGGTAGTCCGACTGAATTCCCTGGATTTGAAGGTTCGTGCAGGAATCAATAAGTTTTCTTCTCTTAACGTCAACTAGTAGGTTGTAGAAACTGAGAAAATCTGCACCTAGTATAGGGTGACGGACATCCGCAATAATAAACACCCAGGTTAAATTACGTCTAATTCCCAAGTCTAATGTTAGAAATTGTTCGCCAAATGTCTTTATTTCGGTTTTATTAGCTGCCCTTAGGGTATATTTTCCACTCTTAGCAATAGGTTTATTGGCTAAGGTAACTGGGATGACACTAACTTCAGCTCCAGTATCTACTAAGAATTTGTACCCTGAAGTTTTATCAAGAACGTGGAAAAGACGAGTAGGCGCACGACCAGAAACATTTGTCGCTACCATGGTTTGGTTGACACGTTTTGGTGAGGAAAATGACTTGAAAAATTTACAAGACGTAACACATTTCCTAGCTTTGTCACCATATTTTTTATGGTACCAACATATGTTGTCGTCGTTTTTGTTTCCTTTTGAGTTATCTCGATTCTTACTCCCTCGAGAACTAGAGCGAGGTCTTGTAGATGTGAAATTGGAGATTAATAATTGTAATGCATCCAGTTTATTTTCAAGAGTGGCGACAGTTCGTTCATGTTGTGCTCGTAGTTCGCCTAGTTCAGCAGTTAACGATGCTATGGTGGGAGTTTGCTTATCGTTCGAAGTTTCTACTATTGCCTGTACGTAAGGTGTATTACAGGGTGTAACTTCTAAAATTTTATCCGCCATGCTAGCAAGACTTTCTAAATCTGATGGTTGGCTAGAGGCGCAAAGAATTTGCCTAACTACTGTTGGCAAACGTTGTAGCCAAATCTCCTTGAGGAAGGCGTCATCAAATTTATAAGGGCCAGCTAATTGTCTCATGTGTCGTAATAATTGAGACGGGGATTTGTCGCCTAGCTCACATTCGTGTAGTAATTGCTGTAATCTCTTTTCATCAGATAATGAGGTACGTTGAATAATTGCCTGCTTCAATTGATCATATGGATTAGGTGCAGGAATATTATCTATCAAATCTGACACCTCAGATGCAACTTCAGTGGGTAGTAATCCAAGCACAAAAGAGTATTTAGATGCCTGTGAGCGTATGTTGCGACGCTGAAATTGTACTTCTACTTGCGCAAACCAAATGCGAGGATTTAATCGGCTGAATGGGGGCACATTTATCAAATTTAGAGCATGTAGCTCTGCTGAAATGTTATCCTGGCTAATGCCTTCAGTTTCGGATGAGTACATTACGAATATAAGAAAATTTAAATACTACCAAGGGTAAAATAACGCCGTAATGTCTGTAAGTGAACTCAAAAGCAGTTGCGAGAGAAAAAAAAATTTTACGGGCTCACCAAATTTGTGGTGGTCCCCAAACAAAAGGAGCTTACACAAAATATATTGATACACTAGGTTAACACTGATATACCAAAACAGATTAATGATTAAGAAACCTAGATGTCTGTCCGTTAGTAAAAACAAAGGCAATGAAATACCGTTAGCAATACAAAAGGTATATTAAACAAAACAGACGCTAACAGTTACTATAGAATGAATGTTACTTGTTAACTGCCTCGTGAGGACAACGACCACAAACTGAGTTCACTTGGTTGACAGGTGTTCCTCTGCAAATGACTGCACCAAAGACGTAATGAGGAAGACGGAGTCCAATAGTATTATACAATAGTAATCCGTGCCAAAAGTCCAACGTTGAGTCGGAAGGCCTATAAGGATGTTATAATACTATTATAGTCTTCAATCAAAACGGTGGCCAATAAAACAGAAGAACAAACGGCGTAGGTATTGTTCTATATTTTAAACAACCCGGTAGTAGAAGTGTATACCATTCATCGAAACAATTATTATCGTCTTTTTTAACAAGTGATACAGCAAAACAACAGATATTGGATAAAAATGTGGTTACAAATAAAGTGTGACAAATTGGAGAAAAAATGTGGTTTTTATTTTTGTTGTTACAAAAATCACTGAATATATGTCACCATAAGCCTCACTCGCTCCGTGCGTTGTGCAATAAAAGGTGATTTTGACATTACCGACAGTCACCCTCAAAGTTATAGCTCAGCGGTATTATTAGCACCTCTAACCAAGCATTCTTAACAACAATCCCTTTGAAGCTTTCAAATGGTTAAAGTAATGATTTTTGTCCGGAACATCTTAAATGTGCCTTCTATGCAGTAGAATCGGTCATAAGTAGTATTTTGTAAGAACCTCTACAGGATCATCCTCGCTGTTAATGCTACAGGGCAAATCTTCATCAACTAAAGTGGTTGGGACGTATATCTCACAACCTTAACTGCCGCCTATCTAGACGGGAGTTGTTATCCGGCCTAAGAGTAGGTTAAAAGAAAGCTAGAGACAGGGTTTGATGGACTAATCCGACAATAAAGAATCCCTAAACATTTCACTTGTCGTACACAAGTCACTTGAAAAGAGCGTTCATTTCATCTTAACAGAAATTTCCGAGACGAGTTAAAAACTACATTGGGGTACTGTAAACTAGTGCAACAAGACAAGGACACACATATCGAGTCGAACATGGTTCACTCTGCCTTTCTGTGAGAAATGGCCTCAATCGTGACAAAATCCTGATCTTCCAAACCATTGGCCGATATTTCTCCTTTCAGTAGCTACAAATGTCTTTGGACTCCTGAATTACGGCTGCCTAAGAGACTACTGCTTTCCGATAAACTTCTTTTCACTCCAATAGCATGGCTTTGGGAAGAACCACTTCTGAGACACAGACTTCTGACTGCGATCGACAGATGGACATCCATTCTCGATCACAAGGGTAAAGTGGATGTAATGTACCCTAGGGACTTAGATGGTCCAGTGAACGTCCTAGTAATCCTTCTAGAGGAAAATTGACGTATTCTTTAGGACACAGTAAAAATACCATACTGAGTTACCAATGCTTCTCTTTTGTTCACTTGAAATGCTTAGGTCTGTGCCTCGAAGCATCGGGGATTCATTACTCTTGGACGCGGAAGCTCGTTAAGTGAAATCTCCCTCTTTTCAGTCGACGCCTATTGGAATTATACGAATTTTCTTGTCAATGATTGGGAATCGAAGGCGCGTATTTTAGTTGTCTCGTTACATGGGCAAATGTAAATCTCTCTTATGATATTTAGTTGACTTATTTTATTTGTCGATTGCTGCAATGGTACTTGTAAAACCTTGCTTCTTGGTCATGTTTTCGGAAAATGTGTCTATGGTTCCCGCTTTCTAGCTATCAGATGAACTTTACTGGTTGTAAACGAAAAATCCTGAGCTATGACCTACAGTCTGGGAGAGACCTCCAAAAGTTCGTAAGACTTCTCGTTGTTTAATTAGCAGTGATTATACTTAGTGCTGAGGATGTTTTCACTAGTAGTGAAGTAATTTCGAAATGGACCTAACCAGGTGGTTAGGTCCGGACATCAAAAATCAGTGTCAATTAAGAGTTGCCTGGTGGATATTATCGTGGAGATCTATGGCATCATCCACTTGCATTAATAATATAATCAAAATCAGTGTCAGAAGTACAAATCTTCAGGTGTAAGAAGTGTGATAGACTTGTCACTTCAGAATATGATGACATTCACCTTGTTAGTAGTATAGTCGGGGAGACTCTAATTTAAGGTCGACCCTTGAACGAATCTTGAGTGACCTTGACAATTATTAGCCAATCAGAAGAAAATTTCTTCAGTCTTCAGTAATAAGGATAGTAGGTTGATGAACCTGTGTTAATCCTGACACATTGCTTTCCAGTGAAGGTCCAGCTTTTCCTTGGAAGTATTCACTGATGGGGCTGATACCACTTGTTCGGGTAAGGTGTTCCAATAATTGACTACTCGATGAGAAAGACGGGACCCCACTTTAAGTTTATTAGATCGTGGTTTATGAACCTTCTTGCTATGAACTTGGAGATTATTAGTGCTGGAGGGAGCAAAAAGATAAGACATATTAGCACCCAAATCATAATTAAAGATACGAAATGCCATTATAAGGTCACCTCGTGTCCTACGATACGACAAGGGGAAAAGATTTAGGCGTTTTAAACGCTCATCGTAAGGGAGTCTAGAAAGACCCTTCACTAATTTCGTTCCCACACGCTGGACACGCTCAAGGGAGTTAGTATCCTTTACCAGACACGGGCTAGCTGCTTGGATACAGTACTCTAAATGTGGTCTAACAAATATGGGATATAAAATTCGAAACGTTTCCTCGTCAAAAGATTTGAACGCTCGGCGAAGTGACCATAACGCACGAAAACCTATGTGTATTATATGTTAGAGGTTGAAAATTGGTCTTAAATGTGAAGATGTGAATATAAAGAGTGAGTTCTTTGTTGAGAATTGCTTGTATATGTACGCCCCTCTAATGTCCATTATTACTTTGATTCTAGTCATATATAGGGCGTCAGTCAACAAGTGGATTTATTTACCCACTGGTTCTTCAGAAATTGAAACTCGTATTACATTAGATTTTAAAAGGTATAACCTGGAGTTTGAGTTTTTATGAATAAGTATCTAGATTACTTTTTGTACCTGTTTGTGAAAATGTGCACTACTAACCGTCGTTTTGAACCTATGCAATATGGTGTCCGAATCTGTGTTAATCTGCTTTTAACATGGGGCTGATCAGGTGGTTCGAATATTTTGTTTTTATTATTTGTGCCACAGATACACATTCCGCTCTACCTATTTCATCCAGTGGGTTAGTAACTCAGAACCTATTATAGTGACTTCTATTTGGCTATTGAATTTCAGTTGGTGAACTACTAATAGATTTTTATCACGATTAATTTTTTATCATTCATCGCTTCCATACTTTTCTTATCTAGATCATAATATTTATCAGGTGGGAAACTAACACTTTTGGTCATTCCTTCAAATGATCAAAGTACCGGGCTTTGTTATTTCCCAGCTACTGGGACGAGGGACGTATGGACAAGTATACATGGGAAGAAAGTCCGTAAGTAAAAATTTCATGCATAAGCTTCATATTTTTCCAAGGGTTCAAGTAAGCTAGTAGCAATTAAATGCATTATGAAGTTGAAACTAAGCAATCAAGCCCGGGATAATTTAGTCAGTGAAATTTCTATTTTGAAAGCTCTTGAGCATCCCCATATTGTTCGTATGCTTGATTTTACAGTAAGATTATATTAATTAGTGATTTTCGGATTAGTGGGATGGATCTTTTGTGTATATTATAATGGAGTTTTGTGGCGGAGGAGACCTTAGCAGATTTTTGAGGTTGAAAAGAAGATTAGATGAACTGCTTGTGCAACGCTTTTTACAACAGTTAGGTAAGCAAGTGTATATCTTGACATTTACCTCATCATAACCAATAGCTTTAGCTCTTCAATACTTAAAAAGTAAAAATATAGTCCACATGGATTTAAAACCTCAGAATATTTTGCTCACATCAATTAACAATCCAAGCTTGAAGCTTGCCGGTAGGTCCGGTTACTTTTTATTACCTTTTTTATAACGTATGACACGCAGTGCCTTTCGTTTATATAGAAGTACATAATAGAATTATATAGTCATTTTCGAAGATAGTTTTCATTACAGTTTGACACCAGATAAAACAACTAAACCTCTAAATTATTTCTACCCATTTATTAGTAGATCTGGTTCGCTTTTGAGCATTGTCAGAATAAATAGTGCCACCGCATAATCTATCGGAAAGTATTACCAAGCTGTTTATATAATATTCTGAGACAATTTAGATGTAGATATGTAGTTAGGCTTGTCAACATGATGTTCTGTTTAGCTGTAAGCTGCAGTTCACTTTAGGTGTAATCAAGAAGTATTTGATCTTATGGATTGTGATAAAACAACCGTCAAATCGTCTTCTTACAAATTAGCATTTGCAAGAAAATTATGACAATGCGGCAAAACTTTTTATCGACGAGTGGTCTTTACTTATTATTTATTTAATTGCACTAGAAAATGAGTACCAGTGCATATATCGCTCACAAATTTGTCGGTGGCGATGGAACCCAGTAACTAAGTATATGCTCCAGTACTTTGAGCCACACAGGTTTCAGATAAATACTGGCACAGTTCAAACTTGTGACCCATTTTTCGAAACTGGCGCTTTAACCATTATACATAATTTCCTTGTCATAGATACTCTCTTGGTTCTCAGACTAAAGCATGGTCAGTCTGTAAACCCCTCCTACCATTTCTGAAATCATGAGTGATGTGTCATCAGCAGAAAAAGGTCGATGTTTGCAATACTTGAAGGGATAGCGATCGGAGAAAGTTCACATACGTTTTTCTTTCCAAACATGGGGTTGGAAACACATTTTCAGATTTCCCTTAGATTGACTTTCTGTATTCCATAACCCGGCTAAAAGGCGTAAATTTACTGGATACATTTCCATTTGACAACAGTACAATGTATATAACCGATGGAGGTTAACTGAAATCACGTAGTGGGGTTTTGGATATAGGAACAGTTTATAGACAGGTTCGGATTTACAAACGTAAGGTAAGGGAAAGATATATATTGGTATCGAACGTTTGTCATAAGGTGTCTCTTTGAATAGCTGGCACCTTGATACAGTGGTCAGGCTTCTATATCCTGGTTATCTAATTGAGCTGTATTGGCTGGGACACTTATTCCTTTAGGTCCTGCTGTTGTATCCGAATGATGAACAGTTGAGTGGTAACTGGCAAGAGTTATTTATGGACTGTTATTACATACATTCCTATTGGATAACTATTAAGCAACCAGATTATATGTATATTCATATTCCTTTTATCACAAGCTTTCATTTGATCTCCTGACTACTATTATACGATTTACTATTGGTAAGTTATTTTCAACCTGCTCACACTTCCAACCACTTTCGGCTTGATCTTATGTGATTGTTATTTTCTATCTCATGGTGTGATGCGGTCTGATTTACTTGTATATAAATTGTGCATGTCTGAAATATATTATATATACAGTGGGAGCTGAGATTGTGTTCTGGACTCAAAGAGCAGGGCTAGGTCAGAACCAATAAAGACTCAGAGTTGACTCTAGGATGCTCGTACTGGTTAACGCGTCTTTGTTTTGGCACAAGGCCAAGATCTTATAGGTCGGTGTTCTGATTGGCGGTTTTGTCACGTGGTAGTTGACGGGCTATAGAACATTACACCTGCCATACCAGGCAGGGCGATTGGAGAGCAGTAAGTCCAAAAACAGCAAACTTAAGGTCCATGGGCGGAGTTGTACTGTCAACAACTGTACGCCAATATGGCAAAAACAAATTCTTACCGTCAGACAGCCATTATCTTCAACAATACTGCCTCCTCACAGCAGGAGTTAGATAAGATCTGGGATAAAAATAACACCTAATTTTACCCAGAGGATTTCTGTCTCCAGTAGCAATGTCTGTAGAATAAAGGGCTAATGTATCAGAAAATACCCATGAAAAGGTTAGTCAGTCACAAGTAATGTATAATCTAACACACGCTTGCCTCAGTCCAAGTTACTACGCTATATCAACACAGCAACATCAGGATGAATACTGCGGCAGTAGAAATAGTATCAGTAATTTCAATAAGGTTAGTAATTTAGGGATAGAGAGGACAATGCTGAAAAAATGAGCTCGCCTAATAATAGTTATAAAATAATTCTAGAGCTCAGGCTTTAAGTGAAGAAAAATTTTATCAACCGATTTGCCATATTTACCTAGTACCCTGTATCTGTTCTTAGGATAGCTCATTCGATTTTCTCAACATATGCAAGCAGTGCTTTAAGGGCACCAAACCTTTTGTGTCACCTTCCTCAGGTAGTTGTCTTTTGATTTTACGGCCTTACAGAAATTTCTGGAATGCATCTCTTTCTCGTTAAATGCAAAATTTTGCTTCAGAAATTTTCTAGGTGATCATACGGAGTGAAGTAGTTGTGGGTATTGACCACCATTTACGTTGGAAGTTTCACCAACCCCGGTGGGTTGTTGTCGAACGAAATCGTGACACGGATTTAAAAGACCCTGTTATCTTTGTTCAGTACGTCACCCGTGTCCGTAGATGAGATGTCTGTTTGTTAAAGAATTAAGCAATTGTATTACATATCAGTTCACTCTATACTGTTGCTGTGAGAAGTGGTCCATGAAAATAGGAATCATGTGTAAACAGCAGGTTTTTGGTCATACATATCTTCGAGATAATACTTTCTTATCGTGAACAATTGAGTGAATGATGCTAAGATTAGGCGTAGGCTACTTGGCAAATATGAAAAATTGGTTAGCGACGTAATGAGCCCTCATTGAGTTAGCTGACTGGGATAAGTGTTGTGCATGACGAACAATCATACAATCCTGACTAGGGTTGGAATAGGTTGGTAGAATGTTACTAGTGGTCAAGCCAAAACTTGATATCAGTCCATAAAGTCACTGACTATTGAAATGAACTGTGTTGACATGTGCTTACTGCCTGTCCGGGGTCTGCGTGATTATCCTGACCAACGGTTAGAGAAATTGGGTGATGTGGATCAGAATCGATCTGAGTGGTGTTAATGTGTCCACTTTTTGTTGACTTAGAATACTCAGATGGTGTTCTGTTTGGTGAAGACACTGAAAATGAGCCCATAAAACCTCATATATTTGTAGAAGTAAGGAGATCCCTTTTGCAATTAGCAAGTATACATGGAACTTCATGTTGTTTCATCATAAAGCCGTCGACTTTATCTCGTTTTTGTGTTGTTGTTGTAGTCAGTTCACCGATTAGTTTTTTTTCTGTTCCTCGTAAACTTTTGATCATATTTATTATAAAGGGAGGCGTTTAGTAACTACTTGCCCATCGTTTTGCTCTATCTATGGTTTGATCGATCTATTTATTCTCTCGTTAATAACATTTCAGACTTTGGATTCGCCCAGTGTATTAAAGAGACAGCTAAAAAGAATGAAGTTCGTGGCACATTATTGTATATGGCACCTGAAATATTCTGCGAGGGTTTTTATCATCCTTCATGTGATCTATGGTCTATTGGTATTATTCTATATGGTGAGTTGAATGGTAATTTTGACAGTATGGGATCATTATGACTCTGTAGGTTCTCACTATAGTGTGGTCAATCTCATCTACTAGGTCAGTAGGTTTTTTCACAAGTTTCGTGGTTTTATATCACGGACTGGGTTTTGTTAGATTACCATTAAAAATGGGTAGGACACTGGGCAGCTATTTGGTCATGTTATGGGACTCTTCAGCAATGTACCTTAGCAGCCCCAGCAGGGTTCAAACTTTACGACCTTCTGACCATTAATTTGGCATCAAGGGATTTACATTTCTAACTACAGTAGAGCCTCAATATTTCATGACCATCACAAATGGCTACCAACCATCTATCTCGATAGGTAATACTGAAAATGGTAATGAGATAAACTGGACAAATCGATTTAGTGCAGTTCACTTCCCTAGCATATTTTCTCGTACTCAACTTTCAGTCACACTCGTTGTATGATTTTGTGATATTATTCTTTTCTCCTAACCGAAATAAGCAAAATCCGGAGAGCTTAAATTGCCGAACCACTATTCAAGTTAATTGATCTAGAAAATCATAAATAATGTAGATAAATATCTAAGAAGTGTGAAGGCGCTTAGCCTTCTGGTATTTTGTGCTAGATACTATACAGTTTATCGTCTGACGGTGGTCAGTGTTATGTCATACCTAGGGTAAACTTCAGTAAAGTCAGTCACTCATTGTCTAAATGAAGCCTGGAACGGATATGTATCAGTCCATGCTGCCACATTCCACATCACACAGAGAGAAAATTTAAATGACGGAGATCATTGGATGGAAAATAATATCTATCGCAATTTAAACTTGAAAGTGAGAAATGTTATACAAGAGGATTTGGTGTTTTGGTGAATGTAAAGTTAGGAATGATACTTAACTCAAGATCTATAGGAAGTTGGGTACTGTATATAACTGTATCACTGACTGATCTTACTCCTTTTTCACCAATCGTCTCAAAAAACTGACTAAAAGTACTGGGTGGGTCTCAAATAAAAGATTTACAACTACTGACAGGATTGAGACCAGCAATCGGTAACTTCCTGGATTGGTTCGGCATTTTAATTTGTTCACCACTGTATGTCTTCTGGCCTACTTCTATGGCAAGGAATGTCTCACATTGGGTTAGGTGGTGTATCAGGATATGTACCACGCATTCTAACCATCCCAGGCGATGGTTTCTAGTTTAGCTTAGTTCCGCCATTGCTCACTTCGTGGTCTCACTATATGCTTCAAAGACACCTATTTTCTAATGCTTGTGAATATCCTCTGCTTCTGAAATGTACTTTTCCCAGCCATAAAGCAAAACGGGACTAATTTATACTCATTATGCTTGAATCGTTCGTTACCAGATGGGCATTTTGCTTGCTTTACAGGTGATATACACTTGTAAAGGTCAAGCGAGCTTTGGAATGCGTACCGGGATTTTGTTAGACATCAACCCTTCAGGGTTGCTCCCTATGATTGGCTAAAGTATTGATTCAGACAAGTCCTGGACCAATATTTTATCCTCATAAGGAAGGGAAACACACTCCAAGGATGGATTTAATCGACATCTCCATAAAATAAAATTACGTCACTTTTGTAGCTTCAATCATACATTTATTTTTTCGATGTATCCATTCAAACCATTACTTCTTACTATGGTATCCAGTTATTCTTGAATGGATTATCATTCAGCCGTTTCACAGATATACTTATCATAATTCAGTTGTATGGTTTTTAAGAACTAACCAATTTAAAGGTAGCTTCCAGTAAATTCAGCGTGAGAACCATCAAACTGAATAAAGTAGCTATACTATGGAGAAGAGCCAGTTAGAAATGTTAAGGATGACCTTGGAGTTTTGAAACCACTTTTCAACTAATAAGGAGAGTCTGTAAAACTGAGTTTCTTGCTAGAGTAGTAATGAGGTCTGTAAGAGTTTGGTATTTTTATGAATCTTAACATTTTTTCAAAACTTGTTATCGTTTTTTTCGATATTTTGCTTGAAGAAACATTGCTTCATAATCTCACTCGTTTAATTGCTATTAGGTTTCTCTTCGGATCTTTTTCATCGCTATAAATATTACTATCGACTCCAAAATCTTTACTAACATGTCCCTTGAAGTTAGCGAAATTAAGTTATAAGAAAACTGCTTGAAGACGTCATGTACAGTAATCATGATATATTTTAGCATTCCTACTTCATCAAACCACTTCTTATTGAGTAAGCCACTAATGAAATAGTTTGGAAGCTGACAACGTACAAAAGATGTTGGAATAAAGATTCGTTGATTTATGTGTTTGATATTACGGATTGATTGAAATATTTTTCTCTCTGCACTTGGTATTACCATATTACGATAATAGGAATATATGATAATGAGGTGGATCTAGGTGACCGAGTTTACAATATCTCTAGATTGAATACTCGGACGATCCGCTACACTCATGCCAGGTCACGTCATATCGGATATCCGATTCATGACCAAGAATGTAGAGCCAGAGTAACGCTAGATGATACTTTATTCCATATAATTACAAGCAGCCATTTTTATTGAGTCCGTAGTAGAAATCAATAAGAGTAGTGGAAGTCACATATTTTATAGTCAGTAAGTTGAGTTCCTGTCTGTCTACACTCGATAACCAATCACATTTACTTTGACTGGCACACAGCGTCAGTAGTATGTATTTGTTGTATTTTTCTCGGAATCATTTAACAGAATCTTTGCCTAATCTCGTTTACTACTTCTACTACTTCGGGATTTGTCTTGATAGTTTTATTTTGTTGTATGTTACATATGGTGTGGTAATTTGAACTAATGCATTTTTGTGCGGGGTTTTACATTGCATATATGACTGACTGTCTGCCTGACTTAATGAGTTGTAAAGAAAAGTTGTGTAATTTTGTTCCATTTTATCTTTGTCCGTATTTTTTAGTTTATGTATTTAACATCAGTCCAGTTTTTTAAGTTATCAATTAAATGTTGTAAAGTCCAATGAAAGCCGGTGACGAAATTGTGCTCTGGGAACCCGATATAGTGAAAGTTATTTATACAATACCAAAACTCTAAGTGCCTTGTAGTATCATGTTTCCCACACAAGTATTAAAATCAAGGCTTGACTATTAGAGTTTTTTTTAGTTGATAAATAATTTCTTGCAAATAATTTCTTTATCTTTAGTTTTTGTTCAAAAAAGTTATACTTTTCCATATTGAATTCTTTTATTTCCTTCCAATAAAATAGAATGCCTATTCGGCACTACTCCCTACGGTCAAATTACAATTGAAAAATTAAAAGAGAAATTAGTGGCAATGGATGAAGAAATTAAGGTAGTTTATATTGATTATTGGTTTTTTTATGTGAGTACTTTTGCTTTTTGGGAGAAAAAGTTATACTTATTTTTATGTCTGCAGCATGAATTATACCAAAACGTGTACTTCAATAAAAATGTTAACTCATATGTATTTTTGCCAGGACTTTTTAGGGTAAACTATTACTTTGTTTAGTTATTGTACTCCATTACCATTCAACTTTGGTATAAGTTTATTTTCATTGTGTAATATATCTAGGTAGATCTGTAGAAATTTGCACTTGGCTTCAGATATGTTCTGATTCATGGGGTTATGTGATGTTGTATCTTTTGTGTGTCAGTTTTTTAATAAAATTGGGCACACTAGTTTATGTTACTAGCATGTTGTACCCTTTCACATTGTTACATATATATTATTATTCTATTCGGTCTTATTGTTTGCAGTGCATTTATATCACTACCCACTGTATGTAGTGCACTAAAGCATCATGTTTTTTTAATGTTTGTACTGATTTAACAAGTATGTTATTGATTATTCCGTCATGTTAGGTGTCAGATCCGAACCTTACCTCGCTTAGTCCCCTCACACTGGTGAAAAGTAGAAAGTGGGAAATAATATTGACTGCGGCGAAAAGTGAGACACAAAGAGTACTATACCATATTCCGCGAAACGATTATGGTATGAAGAGTGGAATACTCGAATATTCTATTTTGTATACCTCTCTTTCCTATTTGTCTTTACACTCTGGCCATCACTTCATATCCACTAACATATAATATCGTCTTTCTAGGCAATCCAACATCTCGAAAGTACCTAGTTTTATTGTTTTCATTGCAACCAACCAAACGTCGGTTTATAGTCTACATCCTTTTTATTCATACACCTAAATAGTAAGATAGTTATGTCAAACCTGGTTAGTTCACCCTGTAGTATAGGTTAGAGATATGTACGGCTAAGAGTAGCGAATACCTTATCAATTGGCGTAGTCATTTGATGTCAGGTTTAAATTATGATGTCATTAAAGTGTTTTCAACGAGAATTTTATGCGATGCTACCGTGTGATGGACAAAAGAAAGAGTTAGAAAAGACCAATCCCAAAGATATCACTCAATTGCTCCATTGATTCCTGTTGCTCGTAGTAAAGTTCAGGGAGTATAAAGTGACCTCTATAAAGCCAAAAACAATTATATTCATGAAAGGTTGGATATTACTGTTCACAATCATTTTTTAGGTTGCTCGGATTTATTCATTGCCATCTTAGAAGTGTTGTTTTCTAACGATCATAGTGTATCCGTTCTTATCGGTGTTTATTGCCTGTAGAATTTTACGTTGAGTATTTTTATATGAATGTTTTCTTAGAGTTTGAAAAGCAATAGATTCTGTGAACAATTATGTATATTAACTTTCATTGTTTGTACAACAATAAATTATTATTCTCCTTAGAGGATTTTTAAGTATTCAGTGTTTAACCACCGTTAATTCACCTATTTTTTTGTATGTTTATAGTTACCTTCTACAAATGAAATAAGCAAACCATGTGCTGCCTTAATACATGGTTTATTAAAACGGAACCCTTCTGAACGATTAAATCATGAACAATTTTTTTCGCATCCATTCATTGATTTAGATCATGCACCATCAGCACAAAGTCTGGATAAAGCTGTAAGTTCGGTTATATAATCTTACCATTATTATTATTATTAACTGATTGATTCTCCAGGTGGATTTGTATCGATTCGCTTCTTCTTTGGTTGTTATTTTCTCGGTCTGAACATTTGTTTTTAATGTAGCCATATCGGCTAGACTGTAATTAGATGGCTAGAAGTCACTAGATTGGTCAGTCAGATGCAACGTAAAGCTGGCACATGTGTGCATTGGTTCAAGTTGCCACAATACATTAAAACAGCGGGATGAAATTGCTAGGGAAAATCCCAGAATGGAGAGGTGATTTAAGAGATTAGGTATCCTAGATACAATTCTAGCAAATATGAATTAGCGAAATAATAAAAAAATATAGTGAATTTAAAAAATAAGGATTTGAAGGAAGACAGTAAATGCACCTGAGGCATTGCAGATGATTTTGAGCCATGTCAACCATAGTCTCTAACCCTCGCTTGCGATAATCACGCGGACCTTAAGAAGTTATCCTGAACGTACTTACATTGCTCATTCCAATAGTCAGCGTCTCCATGCACTGATGCCGTGTCTTGGTCTGGTCATTCCTAAAGTTCTTCCAGCTTCCCCTACACCAGCCATCAGCATATGTAATACCTGTCCTAACGATCTCAGTCGATAAAGTTTCACTAGCTCGTCAATCAACTTTCCATATTTACCTAGTACTCTGCGTCTAACCTCGAAATTATTAACTTGATAGTTCCAAAATATACGAGCAATTGTTGGAAAACACATTGATTATACATTATCAACTCATTGTTATCCAATCAGTGAACGGAAGGATGTATATTTTTGAATTGTATGATTAATGGATATTTTGTACTACAATCCTCTTGTTTTCTACCTTGTCATTTTGATAATGGAGTCAAAAATATTCTAGATTATTCAAACGATATGTTCCCTTCATTTTTAGATTAGTCAAGTCCCAAACTACCTGGTAATTCACATTATATCAGTTTTTAGTAGATGTTATTCACTGGAAGACAGTGTTCTAGTTATTCACTTAACAATTTGTGTAATATGACACTTTACTCATTATGTTCAGTGACACTATGGCGTACATCTTTATTTATAAGAAAAAATCAATTATCATTGTGAAGTGTGATGATTAGTTCTTTGTAATTCATTGTTTTCTTGTCAAAGATTTGATTTCATTCTGGTTTATTGTTGAATATTCATGTTATTCAAAACATGCATAATAAATAATTTTGTTCTTGTAAAATTATTCTAATTATGGTTTTCACATTTTTCTCCTCTTTAACAGGCCGAATATCTTAAACGTGCGCCTCAACTAGAATCACTGGGGAAATTATGTGAAGCCTACGATTGTTATCTAGAAGGTTTAAATCACCTAATGGCTGCATATAATTGTAAGTTTGAGTGTTTACTTACTTTATAACTAACTCTTATTTGCATGTTATTAGTTCCTGTAGTCGTTTATCTTTCTTTTGGAAAAAGAAATACTTATTAGGATTAAATGTTAAATTGACTTGATAACATTTTCTTATTGAATGATTCCTTAAGTTTTTATTTTTAAAATGATATGGACTGTATAGTTTTTATGGTTTTTTTTCCCGTTTCAACAATCAAAATAACACCACATTTCTTACAGTTTAGTGAATGAGACAAGAAATTCAAGTCTATGTATACATATAGTGAAGTATGATAAATAATTGTTATTTGTTACAAACCCTTTGTACAGAGGGTTTAGAACTGATATATTGTCAGTCGCTAGGTTACATTTTAAATATGGTTCCGAATATTTTCATTTATTGTCATTAATTAGGATCATATCATGTAAGTTAGGTTGTAGTGAACAGTACACGAGTGCGGACAATCGAATGTATGTAACACAAAATTACAGGACTTGTTAATAAAATCTAACAATCATATAGTAAATGCTTAATTTGCAAAATGTCCACCAATTGTCTCATAATGACTCAGACTTCATTGTTCTTGCATTTTCATACAAATCGCATTCTATTTCGATTCCTTACTGCTTGATCCTCTTCTCTCTCTGCTGCCAGACCTTCTGTTCGCGACTAACGTCATATACTACTTATGTCAATATAAGTAGCACACACCACAAGGTAACCTTATAAATTCATTCTGCTCTATCTAGTTATCCACAAAGGGATGAAAATTTAAGTTTAACCATCGTTTTAATATGTATGTATGTTATAAGTCAGGGCAGAAGTGCTTTTCAAGTCATTCAATCTCAACAAAAGCTTTTATAATTAAGTTGTAGTTTATAATGAATTTATTAATTTATCCGATATATCTCATGAAAAACTGGAAGAGATATATTTCAGTTTGAAAAATATGTGTTTACGATTGCTGATGTAATGTACTGTTGATAGTATTTGTTGTTGGATTATCAGAAAGACTTTAAACAAAATGTTTCGAAATCTATCATATATATATGAGATGTTTTGAATTTTATTATCATAGTGAGTTTCTGAAATAATTTGTAAGTCGCTTGTGCTACTGTACCAGACTAATGAAACTCTACTAGTAGGGTAGTCAAATACGAAATTCATTGTAGTCAATATTTTACAATTTTACTGTCAATGTTTTCGCAAATATACTATTATTATCGTTGAGAAGTCTTCAGAAGCTGGGATCATGTTGAAAGCGATTCGTCCCATCAGTTTTCACTGTAGACGTCTCTGAAATTTTTAGGAAAATGACGAATTGCGTGTCACATTCTGATTGAATTGCCTATGTTGTTAATAAGTTTAACATGTTTCCAGAAGCTTTCAGAATATAAAGGCCATCCATAGACAAATACTCGTGTTTTCTGTATTCAAACTAACCTTAAAAGTAAGTCATTTTACATAATTCCCGCCATCTTTTTACTGTTCGATACTCACATTTAGGAGAACTTCTGGTGAACTGGGGAGCAGTTATCAGGTTATTGTTAGGAGTTTGAGTACTAGACGTATCAATCATTACTATTATAATTACCATCGTCATTATGTTTGGATAAGGACATCTCATCCTATAGATTAGTAGTTTAGGGATCTAACGATGATTAATTAATCAAGTCTCATACATGAGTCTTTACTTCCCATATAGCTACAATAACTGCCTAACTAAATCTCATACACAAACTAACAATAATTTCCTTTATACCAAAATATTTATCACTGATTTAGAATGGGTAAAAACACATGAATCACAAACATAATACTAAACATTCCGTTTACTTTTGGTACTTGTCAAGTGATGTTTTCTGAATGGCTTAATCGTAACGCCTTATTAATTTTTTTTCAAAACGCCGTAAGAAAATATTACATTTGCATGTTTATACTATAAAGTATAATTGACGAAGTATGGGCCCATAATAATGGATGTGAATCAGTTAACATGTAGGTGGTTTTAGTAACAGATTAGTATTAATCGAATTAATTCTTCATAGAAATCCAATCGACAAATTATCTGGGAAAATTAATATCGAGAATTCAAGGGAATAAAGCTACATAATACAACTAAGTAATGAAAGATTATGATACGTTTCTTCTTAAGGTAGACAATTATAGGTCACTGTAAATGATAATAGGATTAGATTAGAAACAATAAGATAATAACAAAGCATAAATGTAATTTTGAATTTCGATTGAAAATCTGGGATCGATTAAAGATGAGAGTTTGAATATGAAAAGAGATAAAATCACGAAAGAAAAATACACTAGTTTGTAGTAAGACTAAGGCTATGGCCATGAAAACGACTATAAGATCTATTTTTTAACATCATTATTCAATTTTAGATGGAGCATGACTAACGATTCTACAATGTGAAAGAAATAGATTGGATAAGGTCCTATAAATAATGTCAAAGAGTAACCAACTTCATATTGCAAAATAGATGATTTTGAACTTCTACCTTTCCCTTCACTGGGCGGTACTGAAAGATTCTATATAACGCGTGGCGACATATTTGTTAACGACTGATCAGTCTACCTAGTTTCACAAGTTCAGACAGACAGGTATATGCATATGGAGTAGGTTAATCTAGGTAGTTTATCTCTCACACAGAGGTGCTTACAATAGATTAATTATTAAGTAGTGACTAACGTGATGTTTGTCTAATCATTTAGTTCTGATCGAATTTCGTCGATCAATTTGCACTCCCACAGATAGCATCACTCCCCATCAAGACTACAGTTATGGTTTTTTTAACGAGTGTCGACTAGTACGTAACGTAGATCCAGGGTTTCCTGTCGACTACCTTTAACCATATAACAGACAGGTGTATCATTGGTCACTTATTTTAGGATACTCGCGACGAGGTAGTGTAGATTATTATTTACTAAAGGGTTCTTAAAAGTCACCATCCGCACTGCGACTTAAACTAAAAATTAGCATGTATTATACTGTTGGTCAGTTTGATGACATTTGTGTAAATCCTCATTTGTTTTATATTCTTCTCAACGAATGTGAAGAATGACCAGTTCCCACAAAATTATTTGTCCAGTCCATAAATCTCATCAAATTTATACTTGCTTAGTTAATGGATTTGATTGGATGGATTGAAGAGTTTATGAATGTTTGTTTCATTTAAGAGTATTGACCAAGTTCTACGCAGTCAAAGACAACATACGATCTGTTCAATTTACTATATATTAAACCAGCACATTGCGAGAGATGGGAAATCAGCCAAATCTGAAGTAGTGAACTGGAAATTATAGCATCTACAATATGAATGTATGACAAATGTGTATCGGAAGGAAAAAACGTGATCTAGGTATGCGAAGTGTGGAACTACTCGAGACTTAGAGAAAGATAGAGAGGGGTCTACGTATCGATTTAGTTTATCTTTCGGTGGTATATAAAATGTACTTGTTAAAATCCCGTGAATTAAAAAAATATTTAATTACCCGACCGAAGCTGCTACCTTGACGCGGTGGTCGGGCTTCCCTCTCGTGATGACCCAACCGAGCTATATTGGCTGGAACATATGTTCCTGTAGGTTCTTCCATGCCAGGCAGGTCGATTGGTGAACGGTAAGACTAGAAGCAGCAACTCAAGGTCTGAGGGCGAAGTCGTACTGCTGACTGTAGAGGGGTGTGACAGCAGTAAGGTGTTTCCCTCGGACAACCAGCATGACAGCGATGCTGCCTTCCCACAAGGAGGGGTGGGGTTAGAAAAGGTCGACCCTAAAAATGTCACACCTCACCTTACCTCACGGATTTCCGTCTCCGGCGGTAAGGCCCTTTGAAGAACGGAGCTAACACGTCAAAAACCTTCCACGTAAAGGCCGTGCGCGACCGGCCTCAAGCAGTTGTCCCTTGGGCTCTGCGGTCACGCTCCCAGGTCGTCAAGACCAACACTAATCCAATTTCCTTTTCAGGTTCCTCAAGAAATACCCTTCCACGGTGTGGGTAGCCGGGAAGTGACATCAGCCCTCATACCCGTAACAGCGCACGAGACCAAGTTGGTCAGATTCAAATCCTTCCTACACCTCCTAATACCTCTCTTATCTCCATGACTAACCCTCCTCACGTCTCTTTATCACCTCGCACCGCTAGGGCAAACGATTCGAGTACGTGGAACTCTATTCCTGGTCTCCTGAAACCACGCTCTAAACTACACGTAGGAGCTTTTAACGTCCGAACTTTGTGCCAAATAGGACAGCAGGCTTCCTTAGCTGAGACTTTGTGATCTCGCGCCATCGATGTGTGCTGCGTCTCCGAAACGCGCATACAGGATCCGAGTAGCGTCATTCACTTGACCTCACCATGCCAAAATAAAGAACCGACTCGATTCACACTTCATGTATCTGGAAGCCCTGACTCTGCTTCCCGTGGCCTCGCCGGCGTAGGTATAGCATTGAGTTCTAGGGCAGAACTAGCTCTCTTAGAGTGGATCCCAGTAGACAGCCGTTTGTGCGCTGTCCGACTGAACGGAACAGTAAGGATCCGGAAAGATAGGGCCACTCGTCGTTGCCTCTTCGTCGTCTCTGCCTATTCTCCCACTGACTGAAGCTCAGATGATGTAAAAGATGAGTTTTACAGAAAGCTTTCGGACCTTCTCCGAAAAGCTAGGCGCTCTGATGTAGTAATAATGGCCGGTGACTTTAATGCTCAAGTAGGTAAACTAAGCGATAGGGAAAGACACCTAGGTGGATCTTATGGTGTCGTGGCTCAAAGAACAGATAATAGCGACCGTCTGTTGCAGCTATGCTCAGATAACCGCCTGTTCCTTGCAAATACTAACTTTAAGCATAAGGAAAAACATCTTTTAGCATGGCGACCCCCTAATTCGTCCCAACGTTGGACCCAAATAGATCACATCGCTATCAGCCACCGATGGAGGGGCTCGATAGAAGACTGTCGCTCATTCTGGAGCACATGCTTAGATTCAGATCATGCTCTAGTGCGAGCGCGTATTTGCTTGCGTCTTACTGGACGTAAGAAAGACGCTGCAAGGAAACCTCTAAAGGTCCTACTTAATGATAGTCAAGCTAAGAGTATATTTCAGGAACAACTAGGAAAACAGTTAGGCAGCCATGTATGTGATGCCCACCCCGATGCAGCATGGAATGATATCCGAAAACTGTGGAAACAGCAGTGATATCTACTAGTAAGGTAAACCATAAGGTTAGGGAGCAACACTGGATCTCAGCAGCATCTATCGCACTGATAGATGCTCGGAAACTCATTCCACCTGGCTCTGAACATAATGGAAAGCGGAGTCAGCTTAAGTGCAAGCTGACAAGAGGTCTACGCAATGATCGCGAACAGTGGTGGGTAGCGAAAGCAAGAGAGATGGAAAAGGCAGCGGCAATAGGTAATAGCAGACAATTGTTCAGACTCGTTAAGGAAACCGGAATTAGGAACCCGACCGTTAGCGAAACAATCTCAGAGAAAGATGGACATATTATGCATTCTCAATCCAGGAGATTGGATCGATGGGCAGAACACTTTAGGGATCAGTTCAACTGGCCTTCAGCCACACTTCGGTTTCCCACGATCTCTAGTCAACCTGAATGGCAAGTTAGTGTAGGTCCTCCGTCTCTTTACGAAGTTGAAAAAGCCATAGGAAATCTGAAACGAGGGAGAGCAGCAGGCCCTGACAGGTTTACTCCTGAGATTTTTAAGGATGGTGGTTCAGTATTAGCAGTGGGATTAGCTGAAGTCTTAGGTAGAATTTGGGAACTGGATGTAATCCCATCTGACTGGTCTCAATCACTGATTGTGCCAGTCTATAAGAAAGGACAAAAGTCCTCTTGTGACAATCACAGAGGAATCAGTTTGACTAATATAGTGTCTAAAATATTAGCTTCAATAATACTTCGACGCCTAACTAAAGCTCATGAAGAGCAGACTAGAGAAAATCAGGCTGGTTTTCGACCTGGACGTGGTTGTATAGATCAGATATTCACACTACGTCAGGTTCTAGAACACAGACACACATTCAGACGCCCCACAATGGTAGTATTTCTCGACCTTAAGGCGGCATTCGACTCTGTTGATCGTGAGGTTCTATGGCAGTGTTTGTCACTGAAAGGAGTATCAAAGAAGTACATTAACCTTATAAAGGCTCTCTACTCGAACACAACTGGTCGAGTGAGAGCTTATGGTGAACTGTCATCAGAATTGATTACCTCAAGTGGTGTTCGTCAGGGCTGTCCACTCTCCCCATTCTTGTTCAACTTTGTGGTCGACGTACTTTTAGAGATAACACTCTCCTCATCTAAATTTCCAGGGGTTGAACTTCTACCGGGAGGTTCACTTGTTGACTTAGAATATGCAGATGACATAGTTCTGTTTGGTGAAGACGCTGACAAAATGCAGAGTCTTCTGACCAGCACATAAGCAACAATGCAAGCATGTTCGGGATGCGATTCTCTCCCTCGAAATGCAAAATGTTGCTTCAGGATTGGGTTACATCGACACCCGAACTAGTGATAGGGAGTGAAGTAGTTGAGCGTCTTGGCCGCTTCACTTATCTTGGAAGTCTCATCAGCCATTGTGGTCTGGTGTGTGACGAAATCTCAGCACGGATACAGAAGGCTCGACTAGCTTTTGCCAACTTGCGTCATTTATGGCGTAGGCGAGATATCCGTCTATCAACCAAAGGACGTGTTTACTGCGCAGCAGTTCGTTCCGTTCTACTTTATGGCAGTGAAACATGGCCGGTAAGAGTAGAGGATATTCGTAGGTTACTAGTATTCGATCATAGGTGTCTTCGAAACATTGCTCGTATATCCTGGGACCATCGAGTAAGTAACACAGTTGTTAGGAAACGGGTACTAGGTAAGGATGGCAAATCAATTGGTGAAGTAGTGAAACTTCATCAGTTGAGATGGCTGGGACACGTGTTACGTATGCCCAACGACCGACTACCTCGACGTGCTATGTTCAGTGGTATAGGAGTAGTTTGGAAGAAAGCTAGAGGCGGCCAAACCAAAACATGGCACAAGTCCATGAAGTCACTGACAAGTGGACTGAGTCATGTTGGTAGGTGTAGACTACCTGGTTGGGGACCGCGAGATGATAGCAACCGATAGTTAGAGACCCTGAATGACATGGCTGAAAATCGTTTGCAATGGCGCAGGTGCATCCACTCTTTGTGTTCTCCCAAATTCTAATCTTCTGAATTCTCCATGTCCCTTTTTTCATCTTTCCAAATTTACTTCACTGGACTATACTCTTTAAATAACATCTCCAAACCCTAATCTTCCCGATTACTGCTTATACTCTTGCTACCTCTACCACTACAGGATTTGAATCGACAACTGCATCTCTGTGCCAAGGTGGTGTGGCAACTCGAACTGATGTACATACGTACGAAGTTTTACGTTGTTACTGACTGACTTAACATAGTTTCCGTTTGGTATAATAAAATGTATTCGGTAGATCGTTACTGTAACGTTTTCTTTGTTTTACCATAGATGAGCCGTCGCGCTTCAAGAAATCGCAAATACGAAACCTGGTTAGTGCATTTTTGATGAAAAGTATTTTATTGTATTTTTCAACAGCATTAATATTAGTAACAGATTTGTGACTAAATTTTTACGTTGATGACGATACTTTATGTCTATTTAGTGGGTCTTTTATATAATTTTATGTAATGCACTTTGTTACTAATAGTCGACTCCGTGGGATATTCAAATCTCAATGTATGCTCAGTTATTGAGTTTATGTCACTTAAATATTTGACGACAGTGTTTTTTTGAGGTGTTGTACGTGTATTTGTGAGGTTGTAATCTAATGGCTTAAGGACGACTTTCAACCATGTGAGTGATAAACTTTATCCGATTAACCCTTAGTCAGTATAGCTCACAACTTTTAACTTACTTTTACTCCTGGCTGTTGAGTTGTGTTGTTTATTCAGTAGTATATACTTTCAGAGTTATTTATTTTATATTGAAAACTGTTTAGCTCCTAATCACTTTGCAACAGAATTGTTTTCACTCAATTGATAATCAGATTCATCCGAGATAAATTTCTCAAAGTTCTGGTAGGAGAAGTCAACGAATTCGTGAATTAGGCAGTTGATGAGTCGTGTTTTGTTGCATATTCTGTAGGTTATATATTAAAAATTAGTTTACAAAAATGAGATTTTGGGAGCTTGATTTTTTCATGTCATTTACTAACTATAATTTCAGATGAAAGATCATTTACTAAAAACGGAATCACTGAAATTAGAATTATGTCTGCTTAGTCACACGGATGTGACTTCATCGTCGTCACCTCAATTAGAGCCAAAAACTCTTAACAGTCAAGCAGTTAATTTGCCTGATCCTATTGTTCCAGTGAAATGTGAGTAAAATTTCAAATTTGGATAAATTTAATTACTGCACTTGTTTGCATGGATAAAAGATATCTAATAAGAATGTAGACCGATGAACTAATGAATTGAGTGCTTTTTGGTTGAAATACATTTCCATAGTATGGAAATACATTTCCTCTTGAGAAGCTTGAAAAGGAAGCTGAATTAATAAGCAGTAAGTGTCTTACCGATCTTACTTTGGTTAAATGAGAATTAACAGGAATAAGGTTTCAATATTGTTTATGGCATCCGAAAAATAAACATTGAAAACATTAAAAAACGAATAAAATTGACACATTAAAAGTATAAGATAATATGAAAATTCGGGCTTTAAAAGAGGGTAACGAGTGAATACATCTGCTCTGTGAACCAATTTTCAGACGTGGTATGTATAGTCTTGAATCGTCGATTATATCTGCCTCACTGATTCCAATCATTAAACTTGCAATCTCGCCCTAATTTAGTTAGTGACTTTGCTGTGTTTGTCGACATAAGTAGTATGTAACATTGATCAGAGGTGGAATGCATCTCCAAAGAGGGTTGAGAAGATTGATCTGAAGAAAACATGAGATGAAACAGAAAGGATTTGAGAATTAGAAGAATCATGAAGGATATAAAAGACACTTGATGGAAGATTTGCAAATGAAGTATTTAATGTATGGTTGTCACATTTTACCAAAGAACTCTGTAATTTCGCATTAAACAATATAAATTGATTGTCCTCACCTGAGTGTTCTTTCACTACAACTTCATAGGATACTTTTGTCTAGTCGCCCTCAGGTTTTTTTGAAACTACTCCTGTGATAGTCAGCTTTGTTTAAATAGTAAACGGCTGAACATAGATAACTCTTTTCTCTACCATCTAAGTCGATGAAGCTTCAAATCTTCATCATTTTAACATTATCTAAGCTGTTGTTCTACCATGTTGTTCTAAAATATTTATAGGCACATACTAGCTACAAATGCATGTTTTCTACTTTTCAAATCTGTTTCACTCAATTTAGCGTTTTTACTTTTTCATTTCACATGTTTTCGTGCATGCATGTACTTTTCGTCACTATATTGATCTTAGGTTATGATGTATCACGACAGCCTAAAAAGAATGCCGATTCATCAAAGAAAGGCCTATTTCATTATCTACCAAAAGAAAAAGATGATCATCAATCATCATTGAAAAGCAAGTCATCACCTACTTCTGAAACATATCAACCACAAGATTTAGGTACAAGTGATAATTTTACATATTTTAGGGGAGACTGTTTGTCGACAGATTCAGTCGAACAAATTAATGTTTGTTTATCCTCAGATAAAGCTGGAATTCTTACTCGTATTAAGCATTGGTTTTCGCGACAGAATGATAAGACTGAAAATCCTTATGAATACAGTGGAAAAGCTAGTAAGTCACCTACACATTAGTTTCATATTCAATGAAATCATTCAATTGTATTCATGTTTGTATATGTTGACAATGGTCCTGATTAAACTTTCCAGATTTTGAACAATTAATTGTTTGTTCTAAACTTCTTGCCGTGTCATTTATTCGGTATTACTTATTGTGAGATAACTTTTTAGGAGTTATGAGGAACCTAACCATTGATTCTTGATTAGTTTGGTTGTAACATCTTTGACAGAAGGCTTGAAGTTTACCAATACGGAAATGGTCAGAATCAATATTAGTTGCGTAATTGTTTTCAGCCGACAATTATTTCATCCTGTTTGAAATCATTTGAAAGTATAATTCACTGTTATCTAGTTTACTATCCATTTATTTTCTAAAATTGTTTTAAGGAATACTTGGAAACAATTCATTAACATTGGTTAGTATTATTGTGATTCCATCTTTAAGTATGTTAAAGTGTTTGATACACAAACTATATTGTGAAGGGATAGCAAATCAGCTTTTTATTATTATAGTTTTATTAATTGTCAATTAGGTAAGAAGAAAAAGGAATACGAAAAAAAATGAATCAGAATTTTATGCGTTTGTATTCAATCTGTGTGTTATACTCAACTCAATTTGTCCAAGTAAATAATTGTGATACAATGGTAATGAAAATGCTATCATAAACATCAAGTCATAATATTGTCTTTTATTCTGTTTGTTTCCTAGTTTATTCAATACTTAAAATTGTAACACGATACTAACATATTACATTTATTAGTATATTTTAACATGTATCAAACGTTTTACTTGTTGAACATTGAGCTAAATATTAATTTGTAGTAATTAGTTATTGTTGGGGACGTTATATCCCCAGAACTCACTTGAAAAAGGTCATAATTTCGTAATTTTATTTTGGAAATTTGAATTTCTTTGTTTTCGCACCACAACCGCTCTTTTCTCCTTCATGTCGTATTTCCCAGTTGGGAGAATCTTAAGCGCTATTGGTCCACTGTATCTTTTAGTAGGCTGTTTTGTAACCCTTCCCAAGGACGGTTTTGTGCTGTATGTATACGTTTTGATTTGTGTCTGTTGTTATCACTCGTGCTTCTGGCTTTTTGCGGAATATACTTCCCCGTTCGGACTTCGACTTCTCTCTCTAGTTAGCGGGCTGAGACGCAACAGAATAGCTAGTTTATTGGTCTTTGGTCACAAGTCTTTGTTCCGTTCGCAGACTAAGTGAACTCGTAATCACTTCAGTTATATTCTAAAGTTTTCTTTTCCGTGTTTACTTTTTCTCTGTTACTAGTGTGTAAAGTAGTATTATTAATAATGGTCGGACCATATGACTTAAGCTTTCTCTGTTAAGCTCTAAAATGTATTAATCATTATTTTAATTTGTTAAGTTTGGCTATGTATGAATGGGAAAAAACACGACCATTTTGTTACTTATTTCCATTCTGTCCCCAATGCCCTGGTACGGCCAAGGTTGGGGAGAGTTAGCTCTCCCTCTCGAAATGCTCTCACATGGCCATGCGTATGCAGACAATGAAAGGAAAGTCCTACTTACTGCCTTCTTGCAGCGGGGATGCTGTTTACGAATTTGAGATGACGAAAAGTGAATATCCGGAGCTTTAACTGGGTTGATGGATATGGAGGATCCACCTAGGGGAGTTGGAAAACCCTGATTCCAAACCAATGGTGCATATGGGCTCCAAGATCCTGAGAGAACAAATGGCGTATGGACCTATTGTTGGTCACCGACTACCTTGTAACGTTGATCCACTGCTTGTAGATTGGACCTCTATGTCAAAGGCTTGGGATGTGGCCTCCTAACAAAACCACCTGCTTCGGTTCGGGCACCTGGACAGTATTCCAGCCCCTACACAAATCGAATGATTTGTGTGGCACATGTATTCTGTGCCCCCTTGTACCAGTGTTTATGTGTTCAAATAAATATTATCTCCATTCTAGTTTATTCTAATTCTAAACGATTGTTTCCATACAATTATTTTAAATAATAATGAATTTCATTTACACTGCATTACTTTCATTGATTTGTATGGATATGAGCAGAACCTGTGCCTACCGCTATATTGGTTGAGGTGGATCATTCGAATTCTACACAGTTGCCATTGGGATCGCTTCACTCTCCTCCTGTCCTTCCTTCATCTCCTAGTCCTTGTCCAAATTCAACGAACACAATTGAACAAGAAGAATCTTTAGCTCTTAATCAGTCTGTTAATTCCTCTACAATTGAACCGGCCATTGAATCAAGTGTGAAGACAACTTCTTTGGATTCTTCAAAGTTCAGGGATTCCTATTTAGAATCTGAACCAAATGTCGATTCAACTGATATGGTAGACGGTCTAACTGAGAAATTTTATCGTAGTCGACTTTTAGAACTGGGTGATTATTTAATTTTAGTTTTCTTCCATCCTAACTACTATGCTTACCTAAACACCATCATCTGTCAATTTTTTAAACGCTTTTCTTTACACTAGATTTCCAATATTTTGAGATAACATTATTGTCCGTGATGCTAAAAAGATATCAAAATCTTCTAATTAGTGTTTATGAATATGTATGTAAAGCAAAACTGCTCAACGCTAAGTTTCTTCATAGTGTTTTCCATGTTTGGGTAGATAACTAAGTGAGAAATTTCATGGTTAAAGTTAGATTTATCAACGAAGGGAGTAAATAAGTAGATAAGTGTATAAACCTGCATTGACAGCGTTCACTGAGTCATATGTTATGCAGATAAAGTCACAATCTAACTCAAAGTGCACTAATGAGGTAGAATTTGATCGATAAGAATGACCAGGTGATCAGATCGGGACATTAATTCAGTCCAATTAATCATAAACTACTGTTTTTAAATGTGTGAAGAGATAATCAGATTTCTCAGTTGACATCTTCGGATTAACAAAAATTCAATGTCTAGATTCATTTTTCAACCCAATTTTATTGATTTTCTCTTCCTGTTCTATTACAAAGTGTGACAACCTGAAATTTCACTTCTGTACCAAACTATAGGTTAGCATGTCTGTCAGTCCAAATCTAGAAGAAAACGAAAACTTGATGTGTACACTTTAATTCATCCACTTCTGTTGTAAACTATAAAGATTTCCAAGATTTTGCTATTTAAATATTCTAATAAACTTATATTTTATCACGGTATTTCTTTAACTGTTTAGTGTCATATTTGATTCTAATTATTGTTTCTTATTTTACCAGGTACCTCCAGCAATATTGTGGTTGAATTTTTGGACAAGTTTTATAAACTTGTATGTATGATTGAATATTTATCATTGGTTTTTAAATGTTTTTTTAATTTAAAAATAGTATAAATTTGTGCTTTTCTGTTTAAGTTACGTAGATTTCATCATTAGTATCATTGAAATGTTGCTCAGACGTTGTAGAATCACTGAGAGTAACCTGTGTTGATATCAATCGTAAGTTGAACTGTAATAGGAGGCAGGAAGCATTAAAATAGTGGCACTGTAGCAGTTAGATGGACTGAATTAACGCCTAATCACTGTCCATTAAGTCGTACAGTAGTGATCAAATCAAAATTGAAAGAAACAAAGTATGGTCTGATGCCAACTGTTAATCATGGTTATGTTTACGGGAAGTATACTCCTTTAGAACGATAAAAGTTAGGGGTTAGATAACCTGTGTAGCGCATATATATTTGGTACACTCTTGTACCAATATGTATGTGTTCAAATAAATAAATAGATAACCTAGTCCACATAAGCCTAAAACCGAGCACAATAGTTCAAATGCATTCATTCTTAATTGAAATTTACAGTAAAATTAGTTCTAGTTTAGTCGTTGTAGTGTAAGTAACAACTGGATATTCACTTTCCGTCCTCTCAAGTTCGTAAACATCATCCCCGCTGCGAGAAGGCAGTGAGTAGAACTTTCTTTTCATTAGCTGTATACGCATGGCCATATGAGAACATTTGGGGGGCAGACGCTCGAAATAAGGGCGAACTGCTAACAATGGTAAGGAAACACAATCACGGTAATAAAATGGAATAAGTGTAAGGAATACATGTGAATATTTGAAAATAGCACACATAACAAACGGATTATAGGTTTTATATATCAAGAAATGATTGACAACAACATAAACTACTGTATATTAGTAATTCATTTGTACTGATTGTTTGAATCTTCTCATTAATGTTTAGGACTGCAATCAATCAGTCTCATATAGGATGAAACATGCGTCCTGGATTCCACTGTTAGATACTATCATCCATCTCTCCTAATGAATATTAGTAAGTAACTTAGTAGTATAACATGGAAAAAGAAATTAAGTTAAAAACCAGAATTCTCAGTTGATATATTTATGTACTCTTATCCATCTGACAAATCTTAAGACTTAACTACAAATCTTTAAGGATTAACATATATCAACAAATCGTTTGATGATTTGTTTCTTTACATCAATATAAAAGGTTGTTTACATAATATTGTTAGCAAATACAATGTATATATATATATATATATATATATATATATATATATATATATATATATATTTGTTTTCTAGATTTCTAAACATCATTTACAAGAAGCACTGATTTACTTTCAAAATGAATTTTCAAATTGTTTAAAAGAAGCTCAAAGTGAGAAAGTTTCCTAGTTAAGAGTTTTTGTTAACAACTTCATTTTGTAACAATAAACTTATAAAATAATTTAATATTCTTTGCATGTTTGAATATTGACTTACCATTATTATTATTATATTTGTTATTATCACTAAGTTTATCTGGCGCCATCTTTAAACAGTGTTGTAGTAGTGGTAACTGTCAATCAAGATTTGTATTATGTCAGTGGGTAACATTTCAAATGATTCATTCTTTTATGAGAAATAAGCTTTTCTATGTTTTATTAATGACATCAGTTAGTGTTTATTGTTTAAATTAATTATAAGTGTGATAGAATAGCTATTTGTAAGTTAAGTAGTAAAACGCTCATAGTCACTTTACATTATGAACTGATATCAATTAGATATTTACGGAAAACCAGAGAGCATTAAATAGATATTTCTTTCTTGTTCGAGAATTGCAAGTAATGTATACACCTACAATCCTACACATGATCGCATTTTAGTTCGTGTGATCTCGTAGCGAACACGATACCATTCAATCGCTAATTCTTAACACGATTCAATTTATGATGTGTAATCCTCACATAATATCATCTATCAGTTCTTATTTCGTTCTCAACTTGTCTAAATTTACAGATCATGATTTTTTTTTTTACTAGGACCTCACTTATACTCACTTTTTCAAGTAGAAATCTATATCGTACATTATACTCTTCATTATTACAACATTGATTCTATTTAAATCGATTTAGTTGATGTTTATTTATTTCTTCATAACTATTCTTTAGCATCACATGATTCAATTATTTTTCTAATTCCTTCATTTAAATTGTATTTCGTGGTTATTTGTAAAACGAAATGTTTTGTTATAAAGTTCATAATCATTATCTTTAATACGCTCCGTAAAAAAAAAACTGACGAAGTAAGTGTTTATAAACAATAATTCCCATTATTCGAAATCAAAACTTTCCGATAACTCATCCCTGAACTCTATCACTGATTATATTCTTGAAATAATTCTGAAGTTCATGATGTTTTCTTGAGGATCTTCGTATCCTGGAAAAGATCTTTGAGCTATATTTTTCTACTGTGCAATAATATTAGTGTACACGAATTTTATTTAAAATAATAATGGGAAAGTTTCAGGTAGGAAGAGCAATAAAAAATTCCCTATATTGACTTGTATCTCTGTCTTATGGCTTCTCAAATGTTGCTACGTTACCTCAACCATGCTCCCAAAAACGCGCTAATTAAAATCAGCTGGACATTACTGTCCTTCATTTCATCATACTTGATCTACCATAAATTCTTATATACAGTTCTTATGTATTGAAACCTCTTTGTGTAGACTTGATAAACTTTTAAAGCTACTTTGTATTTGGATGGTACAGAATACTTGCTAGGATTTTTAGGCATCAACCGTTAGTTGATCAATTGGGACGATTAGTCAGATTGTGCTGTCATGCAGTAATGTCCATAAGTACGTTTTCATAAGTATTATTATTATTACCATTATTTTAATATAAATGACCACATGTTACTTGATATTTCCTTTTTTTTTCTCTCCAGATGATTCCAATTCCAAGAACCGGGGTATTTTGTTTAAAGAAGTAAGATATAGATTGTTTTTATGTGGTGTTTGTACAAATTAAAAACAAAGATTTTTTTATAATTATTTCATTGTATGATTGCCACCGGTTGTTTTAACTTTTCTTTGAACCAGTTAATAAGTGCATGCATTGTTCGTGAACTCGCTTCAATTTCTTTTTTCTGCTGGCCATGAATTCTGAAGATACAGAGTTTAACATACTGTTATATGGTATATGTGGACTGTTAGAGTTTCAAATAGGAATGAGACATCTGTTTAGTCTTTCTTAGTTTTAGGTAGTTCTTCAGTTAACATCAGCTTACTTTTCACAGAACTATCTCATGCTATATTATCAGTATGTTTATAGGACTATAATGTTTTTTTGTTATTTATACAGACGAGCTTTGATTTATCATAAGTTTATAATGGTTAAATAATTTGTCTTTTTTCATTTCTAAAAGACTGAAAATAGTAGCCACAACTCAGATTAATTGATTTCTTTTTATGGTTTATTTTTTCACATAATTTTTAGTTAAATCTTGCCATGGATAAAGCCGAACAAATCAAAGCCCAGTTAAATTGTAACAGTACAATGATGATTGGTGAAAATGAATCTTCTAGTTTTCAAATTGGTGAAGAAGTACTCGACGAAAATCCACAAGAAGAAGGTAGGCGTTTTCACTTTATTATGCAGATTTAATTTAGTTTTTTGATGAGGTTTTTTTACATTCTGTTATCATTGAGGTTACTTCTATTTTATTTATTTAACTTCTATTCATTTCTATCTTCATCATATGTTATTTAGACGAGCATTCAATATGCTCATAAATAATCTTATACTTTCATAATTATTGCGAAAGTTTTAATGAATAGATTAATCTCGTGCGAGGATGATTAATCACTCAATGTTAAAGGAAACATCACTTTTAAGATCTATCCAAGCGTCTAATTGCACAAATTAGAGATACACGTGAACAATTGAAACTCAAAACAACGATTTATCTAAAGAAATGTTCAATGCAAGTTACTTACAAATCTCAAATCTTGAGATATCTTTGGAAATTAACGCCTCTTGATATGTTGAGGTAAAAAGATTCCCTGTAGTAATTACGTGAAAATTAATTGCAATGTGCGATAGCGTAAGTCACAATCAGTAGCTGTCTAAAGTCGATAATAATTATCAACTATTAGATGGAAACTAATAGCACTAAGACATAGAAAATCTTGTGTCTAAAAATATATCTGAGGAATGCACAATAACTAGAAATAACTATTTCAAGTTAGTTTATGCAAATACTTAAGAATTTTACGCAACAATAAATGGACGTTGAACCATGTGTCCATACATTATTGGAAATGCAACTGGTTACTAAATATCAACAAGTAGTATAAAGCAATGCACGCAAACGAGTTGAGTGAGAGGAGAATGGAAACTGTGAATGCCAACGAACTTAGATATTATGTTACGAGTCAAGAACTTTGGTGTACTACAATCGGAGTGACTCATTTCATTATGGGCAAATAAAAATTATATCTTAAAGTTTAGGGGTCATATTTTGGTTATTAGTGAATGCCTGAATCAAAACCAAACCCTTGGATAAGTGTGTATCGTACAGTTTAGTTTGTAAAATTCAGGAGTGTCAATTATGCCGTTTCTCATTTCATCCTCTGTAAAGTTATGAAACATTTTAAGGTGCTTCATTGGCATTTGTTTCTATGGGGAACTTCAGTATGTTTTAATCTAAGTTATTAACTTCCATACCCGATAAAAATTCGTATGCTTAACCTTGAGTCACACCTTAACTATGAGGCCTATCCATACTAAACAACTGCTCAAACCGAAGTAAGGGGAGTTGGGCTTGAATCTGCGGCTTACTAATTGAAGGTCAAATACCGTAATCACCGAGCTACCGTTTCAGTGTACACTGCCTAATCGTTAGTTTTTGTAGCTCTTCAATAAGTTTACATTTTAAATTACTTTTTTTAAGTCAAAGTATTATATATTTCAATGGTTAAGATCATGAGTCAGTCGGAGCAAGACTACCATGGATGTGTCGCTCAATTTCGTGGATTAGTTGAAGTTAGACATTAACACCGTTGGGTGCCGGCTCAGTGGTCTAGTGTTTAAGTGCTCGCACGCGAAACCAGCAGGTCCTGGGTTCGAATCTCGCAGGGGGAGAGGTTGTGGATGCGCACTGCTGAGGAGTTCCACAATAGGACGAAACGGCCGTCCAGTGCTTCCAGGTTTTCCATTGTGGTCTAGCTTCAACTGACTCATGATCTTAACCATTTGAATTACTGTAATATCCACAAAACCCATCTGATATTATATATTTGTTGAGAATATAAATTTTTCAAAGATATATTCCTAAATTAGTTATTTAGTTTATCTACATCTAAAGTTAATAGTTATGGACTATTTTATTCAGTTTAATGGTAACGTTTCTTAACAATTCATTGTAGAAAATTTTCATTAACAGTTAGCCTATTACTTCCATGTGAATCATTTAAATTGTATATCACCATCCTTTTGATTAATAAAATATCATTTATTAAACGAATAAACAATTGAATAATTTAGTATAATATTCTTTGTTCGTTTCTTATTTCAGATCAGTGCTTAGTAATGTGATATATATGGAGAGAGAGAGGTCTATCTAACCTATTTTATGTTGTTTGTTGAAAGCTTGATATCTTTCAATTAATCGTGATATTGTGTATATTTATTATTTGCATATTTTTCTTATTTCTTTTTCTTATGTGTAACTGGTAATGTTATATGTAATTGTTAATTTCTATCGTATAAACACTTGTGGTGCTTATACACCTCATATATAGATCATATTATCTTTTTATCGAAAAATGTCTTTCATACGAATTTTTTTCTTTTAATATACTTTAACGGTAAATATAAACAAATTGTTTTGTAGTTGATTTCTTATTTTTTTTCTTCGAATAAGTACAAAACTGCAGTACAAGGCCTATCCATTGCGTAGTATCGAGTCATATAAAATAATAGTTTTGTTACTTGATCAGTAGAATTCGATCAACAATAAAAGATTGAACATGTGTCTGTATTAGACACTACTAATTAATAGTGATTTTTTGTAAATATTTGAGTAATGTAAGTGCCACATTTTAAATATCTGGGTTATATATTTCCTGAGTGATACGGGTCTCAATCATATAGTGAACGTCTACTGTGTCAAATTATTTTATATAGTTTAATAAGGAGTACAAAGTAGCTAATCAAACTGTCAATAAATTGTTCAATACATCGAGATAATCTTGGTAGTAAAAATAATGTTTTCGAGTTATGGATTAATGAATCAAGCCAGTGTTTAGAGTTTACTAACAAATATTTAGCAAATAGTTGTTTTTCACTACCAACTACCAATGTATTTAAGGTTGAATAAAAGACCCAGGCAAACCGCTAATGCAGAAGCATTATTCAGTTATGTTTTATAAAGTAGTTGTAGTCAGTAGATGATAATCAAAGTATGGCTGAAATCTATTTATCAAACTAATCCTCTAACTCTATTCGCGGTATCATGGACCAATAACTAATTATACCCTAATATAAAATCGGCTATAGACAAGCTTAGGTATCGTATACGCATAAATTGTCCCAAATACCTATAATATCCAATTGAAAGTCTCAACAAGAATGTGTTGTATAACAACTCAGCTACTTCAAATAAGTATGAAACCCATATAGCTCAAACCTGGATTACTATTTTTGTAGCTATAGTTATTTGTTCAGTCATCGAAATTTCTTAACAAAACGCGGATTCATTTACTCGATCCTGCATCACGCTTTTGTTCTAAGGGATGAGAGTAGCATTGATCTTATAAGAATAGTTTTTTAATGGTGTAAGTAGTAATGATTTTGAATTATCGGTATTCGATTGTATTAACAATCACTGCTGTCTCCTATGTCTATTTTAAATCCTGAAGATATGATTTGTGATGTTTGTTGGTGTAGGAATTTCTGTGAAAGCGGAACTTCTAAATGAATTAAAATCTTATGGGAAAGAAGTTTTCTACCATGTTCTAATAAGAGAGATCCCAGTGAATTTTATTTAAAATATGTATGCACAATGAAGTGTCATCCTAATTGACTGATAGCTTCTCAAATTACATGAAGGTTGGTTTTATAATAAATTTAGTGTCTAGCGTTATGGGCAACCTGTCAGTCGTGGACGCAAATCTTGTATATTTGATAAAAGGTTTTTACACAGTAACTGTATGGTCAGTAGGTTATATACACGAGTTTCCACATCTTACTTAGGAGATAGGCCTTTGGTTTAGTCATTTGACATCGATCAGAAGGATGTTATCCACCCTTCACTGATTTCTAGAGCTACGGTTTTTTTATTTACCAACGTTCAGGAAGAATACAATTGCACAAGATGTTTTTGATATTTGCCGACGCATGTTTAAATAATGACAACTTTCTGGTCACATCAACTTATGTGGGGAACTTTATTTAGTCGGTGATTTTGAAAGGTTAACCGAACGTACCATCGGTGTAAGAAGTGTAGCTAAGACCCATCTTGATGTTTACGGTGATCCAGGATTCTTTCTTTCGATAGCATATAAAAAGAAACTAGCCCATCGATTTCGGGAAGTTGTATATATTGATGGTATCTACAAATGCAACAAAGAAGTGTCAAATTCGATCGATATCGGTTATAGAACTTATGTTTTAATAATGCAGAATATTAACATGTTCATCTGTTTATAAAATGAATGATGACTAAATGATAATCTTTTATAATTTTTTAAATATTCTTGACCGTATACATGTATGAATAGTTAATACTCTGAATTCAGTAGTAATATGAGCTGTTGATTTAAATCATTGAAAAAACATTCTAAAAAATAATTTTCACCTGTCATCGAATTAATTTATTTACAGGCAAACTAATTACTGTGATACTGGTGAGCCTGTGTCTATCGTGAATGAACTTGTCAATTTAGGCTTACTAATAATAAAGAAGTTATGATCTGTTGTCAAAACTGATATCAAATCAATAATAAATATATTTTTGTTATATCCGAACGAGTAAAAATTTTCTCTGAAGAAGTGGCTCACATTAAGTCATGAAACGTAAGAAATACAATTTTCTTACTTAACGGGATATAACAAAAATATATTTAATATTAACTCTCTACCGTATGCTCAATTTATTTGAATCTATCAAGTCCAACCTTGGTATTGATACGTATAAAATGATTGATAATCGGATATTAAACTACTTTTTTCCAGCATACATTGTTTCTATGCATAACAGTTAGTCAAGGAATAGTTATCAGTTCCTGCTATTTTTTCTGGATTACATATTTATTCATCCGATTTGTGTATAAGTTATAGTTAAATCTAAACTTGGTGGAATAATTCGAGAATCATTAAACAGCTTGAAACATTAAGTCCTGTTTTCAAACGAAAAATAATGAATAAACTTTTATATCTAACTATATTTTACCCAGCGTCTTATCTTTGAATGTACTCTATTAACTGAGACGATATTCCACTGTCAACACGAAGTGATTTAATTTCTTGTTACTTCATACAATATATGTATATCATGAATTCAGGTTTTAGCGTTCCAGTAAACTTAATAGAAAATTGTGTATCAAAGAGATTGTCCATTAATACTTTATCTTCCTTTGGTCATTGTTTCAATACAATTTATCATCTACGTTAATTAGTAATTAATGTTTGGTTACTTGAAAGTTTATTTCTTCAAAACAGTCGATCCGATTGAGTCATTTCTTTTTATCGAATAAGTTTCAAGTACAAAATTATAAATCATAGCATCCAAGAGAAACTACCTAGGTTTCATGAGATTCTACTAATCAGATTATGATAAAATGGAGTAAGTATTAACCAAACTGCGGCTATTTCATTGGTTTTATCCTCAAAGGGTCACACCGAATTAGTCAAATGTGTAAGTATCAAAAAGAAATGAAAGATGGTAAGTTTTACATTTAATTCTTCAGTATCCTTTCTTCAGTGACATTTCATTCGATGATTAGTAATATAACATGGTTATTCAAACTAGTGTAAATGGAACATTTTTTAACGTTCAAAGTAATAACTAAAAGTCGAATGTTTTAACAAATAGCCTATCTATTGATTCGCCATAATTAAATCTCATTGTTTTTGGAGTAAACAAGAAACGGAGGGTTAATTAAACTAATTCATAATTTCATAGAGAGAACCGTAACTATACATCACCTAATTTCTCTATTCCATCTTTATATATCATATTGATCATATCTTAGTGAAACTGAAAAATTCAGCTGAATAGGCTATTTTTTATATCGAAAAATGAAATGATAATGAAAATCCTTTAACAATTTAAATTAGTAAGATCCAATATATGATGTATAACATAATACTGAACTTAAGCAAATAAGATAACCATTGACCTTATAATTACCTGTGGAACATTTTACACAGAACTAAAATACAAATTATGATTTAATAGTTGAATTCACGTGTCGATTAAAGCTAGAAAACTTGAAAGTATTAAATGGCGGTTTCGTTCTAGTATGGGACCTCTCACTAGTGTGCATTCACGATCCAGCACACGGGACTCGGACCCAGGACCTTCGGTCTCGCGCACAAACGCTCAACCTTTAGATCACTGAACCGGCATCCAACGGTGTTAATATCTAACTTCAACCAGGACGAAACAGTCATCCAGTACCTTCATGTTTTCCATGGTGGTCTAGCTATAAACGACTCATGAATCCAATTATTAAATTACTCCAATCTCCACACACCCCTATTCTGTGATATAATTATGATTTATTAGTACCTCAATGTATGAAATAAGATAGTAGATTATTTTATTTTTCTGCCCTAATACACTCTTATTCTCTTCTAACCTTTAACGATTATTTCATATTTTGCTAATGAACCAATCAACATTGCAGAATAACAGACAGTTAATTATTTTACTTAGAATGATTTCCTCTCATTCTCTTTCTGAGATAGAATAAACATATTTCTTCTATCATTTTATATTTATTTTAATTTTTTTTAACGATATATGTCTTGTATGGAATGATAATTTAAATAAATACAAAAGATAGAAAAATTGAATTAGCGCGTCAACAATAAATCCGATTGGTTTGTAATTTACTAATTACTAGTTATTATTAACAATAATCGTAAACTACTACTTATGATCGTATATACATTTTTTATGGAAAAAATTTGAAAATCATATTTTTTTTAACAAACAATCCCTGTTCATTTTAAAAAGAAACTTATGTTAATACAACCATTTTATATGAATTAATTATTCGTTTGATTCATTAAGATGTTTGAATTATCCGATAATTTCAGTGAAATGTCTAGATCTATGATGATTGAACAAATGAAACAACAGCATTGTTTCTTACAATATGATAAAGAGATGATATCAAATTTTTTAAACCTTATGAATATTCATTATACATGGAATTGTTATCACAATAATAATTGTAATAATGATTTTGATATTAATAATATTCAAGAAAAGTTAACTATTGAACATTTGAATCCTTTCATGTCAATCAATTCATATACAGATTATCCATTTTGGTCATCTATGTTAATATCAGCAGCAACTGCAGCTGGAACGACAACAACTACATCAGGAATAATACCATTATCTGCCACAGTAATACCATCAACAATTATATCACCAGTTAAATCATTATCATCCTTATCAATGATGACAATTGATGGTTTACAGAATGATATTAGTAAGATTAATTATGAAGAGGACTTTTTTAGTAAATTACTTAAATGCACTTTGATACAAAATGAAAACATATATTCTAATGAAATAGAGCAGTCAAGTTTATCCTCTTCATCTTCATCATCATCATCATCATCATCATCATCATCATCATCATCATCATCATCATCATC